TCCTAAGAAAGATTTTAATGACAACTATTTATTTGCACGATTTTCTTGTGTAGTTATCATATAAGGTGACACGATAAAGATTTGAAAGGGTAAGTTAGAATTTTATTCAATTATAGGATTTCGGAAGTTTATTCTCAAGTCTCTTCTACCATACTCTTATCAATCAAGTCGTACTTTATATGAAAAGTTCCAAATTCTAGCTTACTATAAGATAATTAATAACAATCTATAATTATGTATGATAAAAACTAATATAATTATTCTAGCATACATATTTAATAAGACATTCATAATTGATAAAATATTTATTTTGATATTTTTGAAAGTTACTGCATTAATTTTTATGGCACTGATGATTGGTCGATGCAAATAGGTTTGATAATTTTCTTTTCTAAAAAAATAATGTCCTACTCTTTCGATTAATTTCCCAAATTTGAAAAAAAATTGTTTCGAAATTTAACATGTACATGTGTAAAATCAGCCCAAGGATTTGAATATTTTGCTATAAAAATGATTCGCTTTTTTTATTAAACAAAATTTATTTATCAAATTTGTGTTTGAGTATTTTACAAATAGGGTTAGATCGCTTATTCAACCCACAAACATATTTCGATGAAAACGTGGTCACGCTCAAAAAAGATTAGTCAGAATTAAAGTCATACGAATAATATAAAGATAAAGGAAATTGCATTCTAAACATTAAATTATAAAAAAAAGTTGTGCAGAAATAACATTATGCAACATTAAAAAAATTGTATTTAAATATGCATTCCCCACATTGAATTTTAACTCTAAACGCTTCTGTATTGATTTGAAGCATAAAATTTCCTCCTTTTTGTTTTAAAGAAAGATCGTTAATTAATTTAAAAAGATGTCTGATAATATTATGAGGGTCGATATTGTTAATCAAGAATATAGATTATATCCTGATTGCAATTAATCAAATACTTAATATAATTAGTGTCAAAATTACAATTCCAACAAGATTTTTATAAATGGACTAGTGGAAATAAGATTATTGATAAATTTATTCAAGATAGACGATTAAAAACAAAAAAAAATCAGTAGAATTTATAGAATGAATACCTTATGAAAGTTTTAGAAATATATAATACCTTTTTAAAGGTGGATTCAGTACTATATATAAAGCTATTTGGTTATATATATACTTTATATATTTAACTAGTATTGGCAAGTAAAGTTTCTATCTGCTTAAAGGTGAAGATTATACAAAAAGTAAATCTATTAAATCACTTCTTAAAGAAAATAATAATATTGGAAAAATACATTATATTAAAAAGTTTAGACAATTCATTAAACATTAATGAAGATTTTTTAAATGACTTTTTTTTATAATCTAATAAAGTAATATCGGACTATTATTTTTTATTTTATTAATTTATTATTTTAGTAGAAAAATCATTTAGAATTTGCATATTCAGCTGAATAATAATGGTTATTACCATTAGAGTATTTGGAATAACACAAGATCATGAAACTTTAAATTATATGGTTGTATTACAGAAAATGGATCAAGGCAGTTTGCAATCTAATTTATTAATAAAAAATATAATTTACATGACAAATATTTATATTTATTTACTATTACAAGAATGTATTATACTTTACATGTATGTAATTTAATTTATGGTAATTTCTATAGTGAAAATATACTTTTAAGAAATGTATGTATTATAAATACAGTAATTTTGGATTAAGAAAATAGCTAATAAATCTAATAAATTGAATAAACTTTATGAAATAATTCCTTATATGACACCTAAAATTTTGCATGGTAAATCATACACAAAAACTGCTGATATATATTCTCTTAGCATTATAATGTAGGAAATGACTTCTGATATTCCCACTTTTATTATTATACCTCATGATTTTAATCTTTCCTTAGATATTTGTAGCGGAAAAAAACTAGAAGTTGTTAAAGATACTATGACTGAATATGCTGAATTAATAAAAAGATATTAGAATCCAAATGCTAGTAACAGACCATCTGCTAAAGAATAAGTAAGATACTTTGTTAAATAGAAGAATGTATATAATTATGAATTTTAAAAAGAAATTCTATACAGGTAATATGAATTTCAAAATTACAATTTTTTTTTATATAATTTAGTATTGTAAATAAAACAAAGGTCTACTTAAACGTACCGCAGAAATTATCATATAACAAATAATAACCTGCCTAATCTGACCCGCTCACGTTAATTACATTCATATAGAGATTTTATTAGTGCTGCAGTCTTTTTTGAGTCAAGCTTCAGCAATATAATTAATTGACATTTTCTGAAAAAGTATAGACGCAATGAGCATCATGAAAAGACTGTGTTCCAGTATATATTCTAAATTTGTATTTTTAATTTATATATAGTATAGTACGTCAGTTTATAAATCCCCCCTTTTTTTAGGAAATGGAAATTCCATTCCAAAATTCAAAATATAAACCGCAATGTTACACCGCCATAAATATCAAAAAAAAAAAAAAAATAATAAATATGTGGAACGACTTTATTAATATGATTTGTACAAAAAAAAAGATTCTGCAGGTAATTTTTTTACCTTTTACGCTTCAAAAATATTTTAAGATTACGGTAGGTTAATGAATATAACGATTACATAATTGTAAGTATAAAAATTCGTTTTTATTCAAAAAAAAACTTAAAACATATGAATATGTTTACCATCGCATCGGCCGGCGACCAAATATTTATAAATAAAAGTTTCAGGATTTTAATGAAAGTACTGTAATTGTTTGATATCAGAAATTTTATGTCACAAATAATTCATATCCAACGTGTTCATCGTCATCTCAAGAGTTAAATAATAATTACTTACGGCAAGGCAATTGCTATGCTTACAGCTAATTTCAAAAGTTGCGGACATGTAAATTTTTTATCGGAACTGTCGGATTGTTCGGGAATGTCGGAAATGTCGGTGCCAATCAAATTAATAGAAATTTCTCGGCGCCAATCAAATTACAGTATTAGCGCCACGAATATTTTTTTTCTATAAAGGACTTTATGTATTTTAAACTTCTATACGTGGACATAAACAACCATTTCACATAGTAAAAAAATGAGAGGAAGTTTAATGAACTATTCATTGTTAAAGTTACAGCTAATTTCATAAGTCACGGGACAGCCGATAATAACCGAGACTTTCACGAGAACATTTATAAGGAGTTGAAAAGCCAACCACAAAGTTTTATATAGGTAAAAAAATTATGTCGCTATATTCGGGAACAATTATTTGAACGTAGCGATAATGTTTTATCTTCAAAAAATTCTATACCGAGTTTTACCGAGTTTTTTTTTATCGAGTAAAAAAAATTGAATACGTATTTATTTATATTTGATTGATTCTAACTGATTTATAAATTTGATTGGCACCGACATTCCCGAACAATCCGACAGTGCATATCGAATCCGATTCCAACCTATATTTTAAACTAACAAATTATTTTTTTTTTTTTATCATATCGTCTCGTCGCAAATAAAAAAAATGTAGATTGCTTAATAAATTATACATACAGTATATATACCTGGTGTGGTTACATGATAATACGATCTCGGCGCTAAATATTTAAATATTAATACTATCAAACATCAATGTTAGTTGTTTTTAACTCTTTTCAAATTATTTTCTATGAAAGAAAACAACTTGTTCCTTTTTACCATCAACTAGTTCATATTTTAATTTAAAAGCAAACTTTTGATTAACTAAATTACGGTTTTTTATTTTTAAAAAAAAAGAGATTAATTTAGTTTCTGCTTTTAATTTTGAAGCATTCATCAAAAATCACCGGAAATCCAGATTTAATTCGAACTGGATAATCTGGATCTCTCCGGGAATTAAGTTATCTATTTTTTTAAACTCTTTTAATTTGCGAGTTAGATAGAGAGTTTTATCAACGCCCATGTCCTATCCAGAAGAATATGGGGTTATCGTTTATCAAATCCGGTTCCAACCTTTAGAAAGTTTAATGGATGAAAGAAGAAGATAGGAACTTTAAATGAAGAAAATATTAATTAGAAGATAAATGATTTTCTATATGTAAATTTTTTGAATTTTTTTTTATCTTTTATAAATATGATATTATAGAAGAAATGAACTTTGATATATACATACGATTTGCTCATCTCGTAAAACAAAAATAATAAATTTTTAAAATTCAAGAATTGTATTTTAATAACGATGGGTTTTGCCATCCGTCGAAACTTTTGCCACCCGTCGAAACTTTCGCAATTTTGCTTTTAATAATAATATTTGGCAAAACGTTTCGACGGGTTTCGATTTCGATGCCTGTAGAAACCTCCGGGTTTTGCCTGGCAACCTTAAATGTGGTTAAATATTTTTTTTGAATTTTTCACATTCCGCACATTCATAGTTTGATTATGTTCTAAACCGGACCGGACCGGACTTCAGAATATGGCAAGGACCGGTCCCGCTAACCGGTCTGAGACCGGTCCTACCAGGACCAATTCATCCCTAAGGAGAAGGAAAATCTAAAAGAATTTATTCTAATGGTAATAAATTGTTTTACGAATTGCAATTCAATAATGCTTATTTATCATTAAATTTTTTTTTTTGTTATAAATTGGAGACTTATATTAAATTTAAACTTAATAATAATATCGATTATTATTGCAAGTTATTAAATTCTTCATTTTTAGATATTTTAAATTAAATATTACTTTAAAAATTCATATAAAATTCGATAATATATTAAAAGAAATTGCAATTAAATGATATTGAGGAATATATAACTAATTTATGAACAATACAATTTATTTTATTATCTAATTTAATAATTAATTATTAAGCCGTACCGTAGAAGATGACATATATAATTTCATTCGGGAGATAAAGATATCTTTTATGGTTAAGTAAGTTACTGAATGATTATTGAGATAAGTATTTATTAAAATATTTGATTTTTGGGCACTATAATTATCTGGTTTGGTAATTTAAATGTTTAATTATAAAAATTAGCAAAGTATTTTGCCATTTGCATTAATAAAATTTTTAAAACTCAATAAATTAAACTTTTCTTTATTCAAAAAATTAAAAATTAAATCACATGGTTGTTTCACAATAGAACATTTATTCATTTTTTTTTTATGAAAATGGGCTAAATGATAGTATGATTAAAAAAAAAAATATTAATTATATTTTTCTTTAATTTAGTTGAAAGAATAATTATTAATTAATAAAGACCTTGTCTAGTTTCTTTTATTTAAAAAAAAAAATTAAAAATGCGTTCGATAACATTTTTTTTAGGAACAAAAAAAAGTTATTTTTTAAAAAAGTATTCGTAGACTAAATTTATTCGATATTTATGTCCGGTAAAAAGTGTATTATGTAAAAACGTATGAATTAACTTATAGTCTATGTGAAATTTGGTATATAAAGACTAATTTCAATATATGAATTTTACTATTTTACCGTAAGGAAAAGATGGAGGAAACTTCTAGTGATATCAATATTCTAGTTTGTAAATGAGATGAATTCTAATGCAACATATAAAATAATGTTCAAAATGATATTTATGCGTAAAAATCCAATTGAAAATCTGATAATATAAAAATGAAAGAAAACATATAATAATAAAAATAATTCAATTTACTTTCTAAAAATACTCAAAAATTTCATAATGAAATTTGTAACCTTAAAACTACAATTTCTAATAAAGGCTCCAATAGGACCAACAGGAGTAGACAATTGAAATGCCGTAGATCTAGATTTTAACACATCGACGGTTGATCTTTTTCGCATTTCTTTTTCATATTCTTGAATGCAGGAAATAGGATCTTCTGATGAATAATTAATTAGTGCTTGAGAGAGTAGATCGGCATCTTGGAAAGCATTATTTGTTCCCAATCCAAGTACAGGATTCATAGCATGAACAGCATCTCCTAATAATGTTACTCGACTACTTGTCCAAGGTTGAATAGATGATGGATTAATATCTTGATATTGTCTTCGTCGAGTCGGATTATAAGTTTTAAATTGAAATTTTTCTGGATCATTTGGAGTTGATTTAGGAACCAAGTCCCAAAATTCTAATACGATATCATCAAATTCGCATCCGGATCCAAAATTTCGAATCATCTGCTTGACATGTTCAATGACTGATGCTGAATCATTATCATCAACTTTGATTTTATCGGATTCAACGTCGTCTAATTTTGTGGGATACGAATAATTCAAGGTTACTCTGTAATGAGGCTCATTAGAATTACTTTTATTCTCGTAACCTGGCTCTTGCTCGATTGGAATTAGACGAAAAATAAGCGTTGACGAATCACCATGTAAACCAAGAGACTTTTGGAATAAACTATTTCCTTGTAACTTTATGAACCTGTCCATAAGATGCTTAGGTGCAGCAACATTTGCTACGACATTTGTTATTCCAAAATCGAAAATTTGTAATTCGGGTAGTCTCTGTTTTCGAACTAAAAAGAAACGTTAGAAAAAACACAAATTAATTTTTTGTTCTATTTTAAGCAAGGGAATTTTGAGGAAGATTTAGGCCTACCTGGAGAATTAATTCCATCTGCGCCAACTAAGATATCACAAAAATCTTGCGAACCATCATCAAACATTACACAAACACCATCTTTAGTTTCTTCGTATCTAATGCATTTTTTTCCCCAGGTAACAGGTACACCTTCTAATAATACATCTCTAAGTCTATCACGATAAGTAATCATCACGGAAAGTTCATCAGGAACTTTTACAAGTTCGTTAAAGTCTTTAAATTGTTTAGATGGTGGATGTAATAAAAGAGTTCCTTTATTATCGATAAGCGATGCACCATGAAATTCTACGTTGGGAATTGGATTTAGTATCGCTTTTTGAAGGATTGAAGTGATCGAAGATGGTACACAATTCAAAAGCGATCGAGTTCCTAGATAGTTCAACGCTATATGATATCCTTGCCATCTTTCTATTGATTTACGAATTTA